GGCCACGCCTCCGCCCCCCACCAGGGCCCAGCCCCGGGCACGGGGGCTGCAGGTCTGGGATCAGCCTACACTCCTGGCACGGGGCGGCCCCTCCCTGCAAGCAGGCCGGTTCCCAACCCGACAGCCCTCCTGGGAGCGGGGACGCTGGCCGCAGGGCACCTCCTCCTTCCCAAACTGGAAGACTGAGACGGGGTGGGGGTTGTAGCCAGGCCCCACAGGCCCCAGGATGAGCCAGGCGTGGGGGGACGGGGGCGGGGCCTGGGAAAGCAGGGCAGCTCAGGGCGCGTGCGGGTGCGGGGAAGGGGTGTGTGTGCAGCTGGGGGCCCGATGCCCCCCGAGGCCCGGCTAAGAGGAACAAGTGATACGCGCCGGCGGGTGCAGAAGGCAGGGCTGCGGCCTGGTGGGAGCCGGGACTCCTGCGGGCGGAGTCCCCCTCCAGGCAGGACGAGACAAATACCCGTGAAGTGACGGCGCAAGGGTGCCCGGGGGTGGGCCCAGGGTGGTCCTTGCGGGGCGTGCTGGCGGCCCCTCCATCTGGGGCAGCGGTGGGGCGGCCCCCGGGCTCCGGGGGCTCACGCAGAGTCCTGGGCGATCCCGGCCTCCCCGTGAGTTCAAACGCGAGGAGGAGGAGGAGGAGCTGCAGGGCTGCAGAGGCTGGGGGCTCGGAGATCACGGCGTCTTGGCCTTCACCAGCAGCCTCTGCACCGTCTTGTAGAGGAGGCCGAAGTGCTGCGGGCGCAGGCGGGTAAGGCCAGGCGGGACAGCAGCGCCCGGCAGCCGCTCCTCGCCCGGACGCCCTCACCTGGACTCTCCCTGACCTCGAGCCCCTCACCTGACGCCCCCACCCGGACCCCTCCCACGTGTACCTCCCTCACCTGGACCGCCGTGTAGGCCATGCCCAGATAGGCGCCGATGCACACGGCCAGCAGCAGGTCGAAGATGGCTGGCTTGACCCTGGGGGCAGAGGAACGTGGCGAGGAGGGCGCCGGGGGACCCCAGCTCCTGGGGGCCCCGAGGGCCATGGCGCCCAGCCCCAGCTGCTCACCTGTACGCGTTCATCACCTGCTTCAGCTGGTCATAGAAGACGAACTCAGGGTCCCTGGGGAGAGGCACGCTCAGCGGGCTACTCTGAGCCGGCCCCCGTCCCACAGCCCTCGCGCCCAAACCTCGCCAGGCCCAGCAGCCCGGTGCAACGTGCCCTCGTGCAGGGGGCCTGCCCTGATTCTGAACCCACGTCCTCTGCTTTTGGGTGTTAAGTGTGCTCCCACCCTCAAGGGGGGTAGAAAACATCCATGGGGTGGGAGCGTTGCTGTACGGGGAGAGAGACTGGGACTTGGGAACGGGAGGCCCTGGCTCCGCAGCTGTGCGTCCGCTCCGAGCCTTGGTTTCTTCTTCTGTCCAAGACCTGTCTCCCAGGGGAGCCGTAGGCCAGGTGGGAACAAGACGGGAGCCAGCAGGGCACGGAGCGGCCTCAGGGACATTTCCTGCCTACGGACGCCCGGGGCACCTCCCCTTCCTCAGGCCCCTGCCCCCGCTGGGGTGGAGCTGGGGGCAGCAAACACAGCCAGCCGAATGGGACAGGGTCTGGGAGGAGCACACCAGGCTGCTGGCGGGACGGAGGTCAGTCACCCCACAGCC